AAACATTTACAGAGATTTTGGGCTTCCACTCATTCATTGTTGCACTATTCTCTCTACCCTCCTCCCAGTTTGTTCTTGTCCAAATGCCACCAACTTGGGGGAGAGGTGGTCAGGGAGGAAAATGTGCAACAATGAATGAATGGAAATCCAAGTTCTCTATAAGCTTTCATTAAAATCTCAATTAAATAAAAAATAAAGACAAGGGGAAAAATGCTTGTCTGACCCCTGGCTTTTCCTGGAAAGAGTGTCAGGATTGCTTTTTTGTTTATTTACTCTCAGCAGTCACGCTGATGCAGAGCTTAGCCAACAAGAATGCATTTTGAAAGATAAAATAATACTTAACTATTAAAAACGGGATACTGATGAATTTTATTTGTGGAAATATGAATTAGCCAGTGTCACCACTTTTTCCATTCTTTTTTTCTATTAATTTATTATGCAAATATTTTCGTTTAGGCATCTGACTTGTGGAGGTACTTTCTTACCTCTTGAGGATCTTTAATGTGTATGGTGGTGTTTTGTTTTGTTTTATTTTTCTTAAATCAGTTGCCATTGTTTGATTACAACTCACAACAGCCCCTGTGTCAGAGTAGAGCCGTCCTCGGGATGGGGTGGGGGGTGTGTTTCCAGTGGTTGGGTGTGTGGAAGTAGATCACCAGACCTTTCTTCTGAGGCGCCCCATTCTGCACTCAAACTTCCAGCCTTGCTGTTACTGACTGAGGACATCAACCTTCTGTCCTACCCAGGGACACCTAAAGTGAGCGATTGAGATGACTTTCAACCTTACTTTCTGAAATTCTCATCATTTAAGTCAATAATGTAAAATAGGTGCTATCAAGTTGAGTGTGACTCATAGCGACCCTATGAACAACAGTCTGAACCCTGTCCTGTCCTGTGCCAGCCTCACCGTAGCTGACACACTGAGCTCATTGCGGCAGTCAGCGTGTTGGTCCACGCTTTGGGAGTCTTCTTTCTCTCATTGACCCTCCACCTTTCCAAGTTTGATGTTCCTCTCCAAAGAACAGCCTCTCCTAGTAACAGGCCTGCAGTATGTGAGGTAAACCTTCATCTTTGCCTCCAAGGACCACTCTGGCTGCACTTTCTCCAAGACAGATCTTTTTTATTATTATGGGTCAATAATAGGAATAGATATTTTCTTTAACTTAAAAAAGATCAAGTTTAAGAATTTAAAAACACACAAGACCAATTATCATTTAAAAGTGGGTTTTGTCCACTAGAGAAAGAGGGGTTATCTCTTCCTGTGCCAGTCAGATCCGATTCGATGGTTCACACCAAGAAAAATGTAGGTTTTGATGTCTCTATGTGGGAAACTCCTGTAAATATTGCAGAGACAAGCAAGCCATAAGGAGCCATTCGATGGGGTCCCTTATTTCTTACATTACGTGAGAAGTCCTGAAGAGCCCACTCTTTGAAGTCATGTCTCCTCTCATTTATTCATCCATTAGGCATGACTGAGTCCCTCTGTCCATGCACTGTGCTGTGTGCTGGGGACACGTCTGCAACCCTTATGTCGCTCAGTGTCTAGTGAAGGAGAAAGACACCGAAGGAACTGGGAAATCTGTTCACTGTGGTCCCAAATCACAGCCTGCTCTTGTCGAGTTGCTTCTGACTCTGAGTGGCCGGGTGGGGAGAGGAGCGCCGCCCAGCAGGTTTCTCAGGCTGCACACCTGGAAAGGGAGCAGATGGGCTTGTCTCTCTCCCAGGGAGTGGTTGGTGGACTTGAACTGCAGACCTTTAGGTTAGCAGCCTGTTGTTTTATCCACTACACCACTAGGGTGCCTTCTATATAATGATTGCTGGTAATGCAGGCTAACTAGGCTACAGACAAATTCTGTTCTTAAGTCTGTCTGGAAGTAAGATTTGTACATAAATTGGAACAGACAGATCTAGTTCATAATGTTACTATGTGGTATGTAGTGCATTTTTCTATGCATAAAAACCGTTAAAGAAGCATTTCTGGATATACCTTTAGCACAGTACAGTCATGCTGTAGTTGTTATTATGTTCTGTAAAATTGACTCCAACTCACAGCGACCCTGTGCACATAGCTCTAAACCCTGCTCTGTCCGGAGCCAATCTCACTGACCGACACACCTACTCTCATTACCCTGGTTACTGTGTCATTCCATTGCATCTGAGGTCTTCCTCTCCTGGACTGTCCCTCCACCATCCCAAGCATGATGTCATTCTCAAAGGACTGGTCCCTCCTGGCAACATGCCCAAAGTATGTGAGACAGAGCTTCAGAAGCATTGCCTCCAAGGAGCAGCTTGGCTGTACCCTCTCGCGGACAGACCTATTCCCTTAGCAGTCCATGGGATATTCAGTACTCTTCTCCAGCACCACAGCTCAAAGACGTCAATTTTTCTATCCTACTTAGTCATTGTCCAGCTCTCTGATACATAGCAAGTGATTATGAAGACCATGGCCTGGATCGGGCACACCTTAGTCTCTACTCTGACATCCTTGCTCCACAGCACTCTGGAGAGGTCCCTGACAGCAGATTTGATGTACATAGCCAAGAAGCACTTGTTTGCTACCATGAACCATTGCCTACCTTTTGCGTTTTGGTTCATAGTTAAGGGCCATAGCTGTGTTGGTTGCTATGGCTCACGAGTTGCCTTGACTTCTGAGGCCATGGAATGCTACTTGTATGTAAGCCTGCTTGTGGCCTTCTGGGGGCAAAAAACCTTGCTCGAAGTGAAGTTGCCACAAGCCTTCAGTTTATAAGTTACTGTGAAGCAGTGCAGTAAGGCATGGTGTGCCTAATCTGCTGCATTTTAGTTTGAGCTAATCTTTTAAATTGCATATGATTTATAATAGAGAAAATCTTGCACATGTGTTGATGAAGTGCTGTCTCAGTGATGTAGGATTAATGCACTGCAGTCAGTGTCTAACGGGTCTGCTCTCTTCTCTCCCTCCGCCACCCCCAGGCTTCAACCATGCTGAGAGCCTCCTTGGTTCCCATGTAAGTAATTGTCTGGCCACCTTTCCCCTTAGTGACCCCATGGAGCAGGGTAGACCCCACCCCAGGGCTTTCCAGGCTGTTTGGAAAATAATGGGGGCACATAACCAGCTCTTCCTGCTTTGGAGGGCGGTCCCAGGGCTCCTAAGTAAGTGTTCTTTGAAATTTGTATTAAGGAAAAGAATCAGGAAGAGGATTGGAATTCTAGGTAGCGGTTAGTAACTGCTTATCTTAACAGCCTCCTGAAGAGAGATGCCTTTAATTAGCCACTATGATAAGTGGATATAAAAGGAAATACCACAAATGATAAGCAAGGCCAATCAGGGGAAGTGTCTTTGCATATCAGATCCTTATTTGATCAAGGATCAAGTATGTATCAAGTGGGATGTAATTGTTAAATCTTTTCTGTGGTGTTCTCTGACCGGTCACTTTGATCTGATTGCATAGGACAGTCAGCAGAGAGCGGCAGTACTCAAGTTTATTCCTCTGCTGGTTCACACTGTGGCTGGGACACCAGATAGCCTTGTGTGAGCTTGAATGTTCCCACTCAAGTTCATTCCCGTCTCAGCCTTGGTTGTGCCCCATGCATCGGAATCCACAGATGTGTGTGTGCACTGGGAATGAAGAACTGGGAAGACTGGGAAGGAGAACAAGGAGGGTCTGGTGACCTTACAGCAGGTGATTCAGACCCGCCCGCATCAGAGAGAAAGGACTGGCAATCTGACTGCAGCCAAGAACACCCATGGAGCAGGTCTCTGTGACACGCTGCGCCACCGTGTGTCAGTATCAACCTGACGCCAGTGGGTCTGGAGCAATTTTAGTCTAATGTTGTCACGAGGACAAAAGGAGTTAATAGGTGTAAAGCAGAGTTGACAGTGCCTGGAGTGTAACAGACACTCTCGGGGTGCTTGCTGGTGAACCCTCAGTTTGAGGTTAACCTCCGTGGTATAAGAGGCAAGGTCACCTGCAGAGTTACCGGAGGCTGGTTGGAGGGTGAGCCTGGGAGGACATGGTCTGAGATGGTGAGAGGATGGCTGGACCGTGGGCACCCAAGGTGCTGAGCTGCTTAATTGACACACTGCCGAGTGAGTGTGGCCCGGGTTTTCTCTGTCCCCCAGAAGAGACGTCCAGATGCAGCACATTATCATGCTTGGCGCTGTCATCGGATTGTTTTCCCAAAAGGACAAGAATGTGCTTAAAGAATTTTTTAAAATTTAACTTTTCATTTTGGGATCATTTTGGAGTTGCACAAGTAGTTACAACCCCACTGCCACTGAGTTGATTCTGACTCCTGCATCCCTGCAGGCCCACAGCCTCAGACACCCTGTAGGATCCCGCCACACATTTCTGATGGGTTTGGATGGCAGTCAAATGCTCTGACCTCAGCACGGTCCTTTGCTGGCCCAGCTCGGTCCAGAACCGCGCACTGCTTCCGTCCTCATGGCTTCCTCTGGCTTTGGAGCCGTTCCTCTTGTCTCTCGTGACCAGGATGCTTTTGAAGAATTCCAGCCAGTTCTTGACATTAGAAGAAGCCTGTTTGTTACACTTTACACTCACACTAAAACCTGTCTTAGGTGGGGAGGGTGTCAGGCAATTGCCTTGCACAGGGGGGTGTGTACTGACTGTGGGGTGCATAGAAGATGCTCCCCACAGAGGCCTTTCCTGACATCTCATGTGTCCTCAGCTCTGGGCCTTTCCCCTCTAGAATCTCATTCTGCCTTTTAAAAATCCCAGGATTACCCCTAGAGCCCTAAACCCACCGTAATGAGTTGGTTACAACATAGCAGGACCTTCCCTTGGGTTTCTGAGGGTGGAAGTCTTTCCAGGGGGAAGCGGCCCACGGCTGGTGGTTTTAAACTGCTCATCTTCTAATAACAGCCTGACTCATTCCATGCCACCCCACCAAGGCGCCTTACACTCACTAATAGTAACGAAAGGGAGCAGGTACATTTTTGTCTTTTCTGGAAGTAATGCATGTTCTTTATAAAAAAACTTCATTGCTAGGGAGCTCTGGTGGCCTAGTGACAGGAAACTGCTCTGCAGTCCTGAAGGCACGCAGTTCAAATCCACCAGCTGCTCTACGGGAGAAGGATGGGCACTCTCCTCTTGTGTCTCTGAAAACCCGCCGGAGGGTCAGCTATGGGTCGGTTCCGACTCAGCTGTGCAGAAGAAAACGTCAACGCTATAGAGACATGAAGGAGAACATGTCAGTTACTCCAGATTCTGCCACCACAGAGAAGCACTGTTACCCCATCTCCGTCCTGCTCCTAAAGCAAGCCCAGCGTCGTTTGTCCTTTCCCCAGCCTCTTGATGAATCCCTTTCTTACGGCATGCATATCCCTGGAGATTGGCCGAGTCATGTTTGAATACTGAGGGTAGAGACTGGCTTTGTTTTCTCATTTTGAAATAATCATTGACTCCGAAGAAGCTGCAAAATAGGACATCGAGTCCTGAGCCTTTCGCTTGGCCTCCATCAGCGGAGACCACTGTGTGACTGCAGTCCATGTCCAAACAAGGAAATGACGCAGAGCCAGGACTGCTATGGCGACAGACATCCCGTTTCCTCCCCTTTTCCCATGCTCACTGGCACCCAGCGGAACAGAGGCAGGTGTTGGGTAGGCCAGAGCGTGTAGGTCCCAGAACACTGGCCTCTGGTAGTGGAAACCAGGCTTCCAGTCCTTCTCTGGAGGACTTGCTTATTGTTCTGCAGTTCATCTCACAGGCATGTCCCGGGGCTGCTTCCTGATGGCTTCCTGATGGTTCCCTGCTCCTCTTTGGAGGGCCAGGCCTTCCACTCACTGCTCATAGCTGTTGTCTGTTCCCAGTCCAGAACCTCCGACTTCTTGGGACCTACTGCTGCCCATGGACTTTGGGCATGCCTCAGGGCCCCGAATAGGTAGATCTCTAGTGGAAAGGTCTGATGCCCATCACATGGTATCTTGGCCTTAGGTGGACTTGGCCTGAGTCCAGCCATTTCTAAACTAAACTCCTTGTTTTAGGCAAAATGTTAAGGAGAACTCTAGTACAACCAGCAGAAAAGGCAGAGCCTAGCGGTGGTGCTGGCTGGGCGCCTAGATCGCAGCCCTGCGTGGGCCCCGGAGTTAGTGCCAGGAGCGTCGGGAGGCTCTGGCCGCACACCCAGCACCTTCTATTGACGTCATGATGCTCCGGAGGCCTGACCACTTGCCCTTTTCTTTTTCTTTGAACTTACCTCGCTGAGTAGGAAACTGAAGGATGTCCCCTTACTGCCCTCCCTGGATTATGAGAAACTGAAGAAGGATTTGATTTTGGGGAGCGACCGCTTGAAAGTCTTCTTGTTGCAGGCTCTGCGTTGGGTAGGTACCTTGCCCCAGGAATTGGGGGGGGGGGGAGTCCAATAGCAACAAACAAAAACACATGACTGTATTGGATTTCTCAGCTGGCTACCTTGCTTTTATCTTTCAACCCATTTAATAGAAGACTTGTTCCCTGCTGCCTGGGTACCAGGAGATAAGGTTAAGCTAGGGCACAGAAGCTGCTTCTGATGATAGACTCGGCCTCATCTTCAAAATCTTGGTGTTAACAACACCTTTGCCCTTGATGTTCAGTCAGTGACGTTATAGAGGTCTCTGCGGGTGGGTATCTTTTCTGGTCCTCTGCTGAGCCACGTGTGGGGGCCTGTAGACAAACCCAAGCCTGCTGTGGTCAGGTACTGCTGTGTGGTGGACAGCAAGAAGCGATGGCTATTCACCTCACCTCTTCAACCATCCTGAGCCACCCAGCCTCAGGCTTCCAAAGGGGACCCCAAAAAGCTTCTTCTGATATTTCTCAGATTAACATTAAAACGGTGAAAATGAGAATACAGTGATTAATCCATCCAAAAGTCAGTGCCACGTGTCAACATAAAAAACCATAGTTTTCAGGACAGAAGTTATATTTTCCAAAACACTCCACCCAAAAATTAGTATAGGAACAACATTGTTTTTGTTGTTGTTGTTATGTGCCGTCGAGTTGCTTGCGACTCATAGCGACCTTATGTACAACAGCCTTAAACTCCACTCTGTCCTGTGCCAATCGCACTGTCTGACACTCCCATCCCGATTATCCCAATCACTGAATCAATCCACCTCATAGAGGGCCTTCCTCTCCTGCGCTGTCCCTCCACCCTCCCAAGCATGATGTTCTTCTCCAAGGACCGGTCTCTCCTCACAACATGTCCAAAGTATGTTAGACGGAGCCTCAGAATCCTTGCCTCCAAGGAGCCACCCGGTTTAACCCTTTCCAGGACAAATCTGTTTGTTTTCCTGGCAGTCCATGGTATTCTCAATACTCTTCTCCAGCACCACAGCTCAAAGGCATCAAAGGAGGAACAACATTATTCTACACTTTTACCAGTTCCTTCACTGTCTGCCTTAACAGAGGACAGCTGGTTTCTCACATCAGTTTGTCCCAGTGTCCACTGCACATCAGCACCGAGAGAGGGAGACACGGCACCTCTTTGTGTTTTCAGGAAAGTAATTTTGACCTCATGAATATCCAGAAGGTTCTGGAGAGTCCTCAGCATTTCTTGGACTGCACTGTGAGAACTGAAGTCCTGAACCTACCCTGCTTGACCCTTGAATGCCACCATCTGTCCTAACTTAGCCCGTCTGAGGGCCAGGCCCTCATGGGCCCCTGGATTTCTGAGTATTATGGCAACAAAATGCCACTGAGACATTCCGCCATCTCTGCCTGGAGGTGGTCTCCTCACGTTCCACTTCCAGTTCAGTGGTGCCTTGTGGAGGGTGGGCTGGAGAAGAGCCTGGAGGGGTCATCCAAGTGCAGCAGGAATCCGTGGGGTCTGCTGAGGCCTCTGCCTGAGGCGTGGTCGGTTGACCAGTGTCGGTGGGGTAGCCTGAGTGACAGTAGCCCAGCTGTGGCCTCTACTCCCATTACCACACTCATCTTCAGTAGCGACCAAGTTTGTTCACTTAGCACTTACGTCAGTCCGTACCACTCCTGACCACCTAAGAGGACAAGGTGGGTTTTTTGGTGGTAGGTTTGTTGTTGTTGTTTTCTAGGGGAAGGACATTTTCTTAGAATAACCAGGAAAAGGGGAGCTCTGGTGGCCTAGTGGCAAGGAGCTGCAACTACAATCCCAGAGGCACACGGTTCAAATCCACCGGATGCTCTGCCGGGGAAGGAGGGACAATCTCTTCCTGTACCAGTCAGATCTGATTTGATGGTACACTCACACAAAAATAATAAAATAAAAATTTAAAAAAAAAGAATAACCAGGAAAAAGAAATGTCTTATGTGCCGCAGCCTCCTGAGTCCACACCTGTCTAGCTTCAGTGTACTTGACAGAAAGGCAGCACCCCGATTGTGAGGTTTCCCAGGGGAGCTGCCTCCAGCATCCCCACCGTCACCATAGAGGAGAGCACGTCCTTGGTTGATTGACTGGCTGATGAACTAGCCCCCGATCGAACGTCGAATCTTTGGTTTGCTTTAATGTGTAGTTTACTGGCACTTCCTTTTCAAGCAGAATTACTCTTAGGACATTTTCCTCCAGGCCAACACTTAGGCCTCTTGTCTTTATCCATGCAGCGCTTGACCACGTCCCACCCTGGGGAGCAGAGGGAGACGGTCCTTCAAGCCTACATCAGCAATGACCTCTTGGACTGTCACAGCAGCAACCAGGTAGGTGTGGGACAGGCCAGAGCCCAGCCTTCGTTCTGGGCAGTGGGGCTTTGTTTCCTGGCACTTTTCCAGCATGGTGGCCACATGGCAGCTTTGAGCGCCTGTGAGCTGAGCTCCACTTGTCCCCGTGGACACTGGCCCCGTGGACACTGGCCCCGTGGACACTGGCCCCGTGGACACTGGCCCCATGCTGTCATAGCTTGGGTCTGTCTCTGGGTCCTTCTCCTGTCACTGGTCCTGTTCTCAGATCTTTCCAGACTCCACTCTTTGTCATGAGTTCTGAAAACTGAGAATAAGTCTCCGAATGCATAGGGTAGATTAGCAGATTCCACCTTTTTTTCTACATGATGTAAAGTGTCTCTTTAGAGTATATTTTTTAAAATTTAATTTTATTAATTTTAATGAACATTTACAGAGATTTTGAATTTCCATTCATTCATTGTTGCATTTTTCTCCCTGCCACCCCCTCCAGTTCCCTCTTCTCTTTGAAAAGTAAAAGAAAAATTCCTTCATTGGTATACAATCCCCCCATCACCCTACCCCAAGTCCACTCCACTATGCAACCTTCATTCTGGACTTTTGTCATAACCATGATACCCAATCATATATCGCTTTTAAACTGTTCTATCCCTCATCTGTTGCAATGCAGTATACATAATTTATCCCTTCTTTCTCAGTCTCCCCACAGCCCCGATGTCAGTCCTGATTTACAGCAGTGGCACCATGCAGTATTTGTTCTTTTGTGACTGAGATCCATTTTGTATAATATTGCATGAGTTCCTTGTTTTTTCAGTGCAGCGTAGTATTCCATTGTGTGAATATACCACAGCTTCTCTATCCATTCATTTGTTGACGGGCACTTAGGTTGTTTCCAACTCTTTGTTGTTGTGAACAAAGCCACAATTAACATGGGTGTGCAAATATCTGTTTGGATGTCAGTTATGGTCTCTTTGGGGTATATTCCCAGTCAGTTATGGTCTTTTTGGGGTATATTCCCAGTAGTGGAATTGCTGGTCAAATGGTGTTTATATTTGCAACTTTTTGAGAAAGTGCCATACCGCCTACCACAGTGGTTGCACCATTTTACACTCCCACCAACAGTGAATAAGGGTTTCAGTTTCTCTGCAACCTCACCAGGATTTGTTGTTTGCTGTTCTGTTAAGTTTCTATACTAGGTAGTCCTTGACCTATGACATACCTGAGTTATGCAAAGCACATTTTTTAATGAGGGTGTGTGTACTTAAATTTTCGTGTATGCATGCTTTAAAATGTATCTGTAAGGTTTTCTCCTTTTTAATTTTGTAAGTGGAAGTTTACACGGCAAGTTTGTTCTTTTATTTTAGTTGGTAGTTCGTCCATAGATTGCTCTGTGACCCTGGTTTCAGTCCCTGCAATGTGTCAGCACTCTCCCCCTTTCCTCTCTGGGTCTCCTGTGTCCATTGATCCAAGCTCTGCCCCTCCGTGTCTTTTCATGTATGGTTTGGGCACATGCTGCCCTGTTGGTCTGTACGGTGTCTTGTTCTGAAGAGTACCTTTTTCATGTCATACGTTTTATGGGCCTGGCTGTTACTTTAAATCGTGTTCTGTTCTCTTTCTGTTCAGACGACTACTTTGTGGTATATGTAGAAGTTCCAGTGAACACAAGTTTTCTGGGATTCCCATTCTTCTCAATGTTAGCCATAATTTGTTATGATCCACATAGTCAAATGCCTTTGCATAGTCAGTAAAACACAAATAAACGTCTTTCTGGTATTCTCTACTTTTAGCCAAGATCCACCTGACATCAGCAGTGGTATATCCCTGGTGCCCCTTCTGAATTTAGCTTGAATTTCTGGCAATTTTCCACTCAGTGTAATGTACCAGCTGTTTTTGAATAATCTTCAGAAAGATTTTATTTGCATGTGATATTAATGACCTTGATAATTTCCACAATCTGTTGGATCATCCTGTTTTACGAATGGGAACAGGTATTGCGTTTCTTCCCATCAGCTGGTCTAGTAGCTACCTTCCATATTTTTTGGCAGAGCCTGGTAAGCCTATCCAGGGTTGCATCTGTTTCCTGAAACACTTCAGTTTATAGTCCATCAATTCCTGGGGTGTTGGTTTTGTTTTTTTTCCCCAATGCCTTCAACGCAGCTTAGTTTATTCTTCAGTGTCATTAATTTTTGATCTTATTCTACTTCCTGAAATTGTTCCCTGTCAACCTGTCCTTTTTGGTATAGTGACTCTGTGTGTTCTATCTTCTTTTGGTGCTTCCTGCATCATTTAAGAGTGTTCCCATGCAACTAGAGGCTTGAATTTGATCATCAGGTAGGGGCCTGCGTCTGAGTCCCCTCTTCCTCTCACTCACCGTTGTCCCCCCTCTTGCAGAGGAGTGTGCTCCAGCTGCTGCACTCACAGAGCGAGGCCGTGCGCCAGTACATGGCCCGGCTCGTCAATGCTTTCGCCTCGCTTGCTGAAGGTAAGTCAGCATGTGCTCTCCAGAAAGGAGAGCTGGGACTCCTTCTTCCCTTGAAAGTCAGTGCTCTCGCCCCAGGCTTCTCAGAGCTGATGCCCACGTCCTTAGTTTTTACCGCATCCTTAATGCAGCTTCTCAGAGGGTTCGTTCTCAGAGCTGATGGACACGGCCTCGGCCTTGACCGCACCTTCATGCAGCTTCACAGAGCTGATGCCCACGTCCCTCAGCCTTTACCACATCCTTAATGCACAGGATGCAGTTTTTGCTGGTTTGGGTTTTTTGTATTAATTTGAATGCAGTTTTGATGCTGCTCGGATTTGTCCTGTTGCTTTGTTTTGTAGCACAGTGGTGGTGCGGATGTGGGGCTTTCTTTACAAGCCTTCTCCTTTCCTTATTTGAGCTCTCTGGTTTCGTAATTGTAGTTTGAAATGTCAACAGTACAGAGTTAACGTCCTTTCTACTGTTTTCTGCATAAGCCACGATGAAGTTGGTGCAGCTGATTCCAGAAACCACTGTATCATTTTCTTCAGAAGACCATAACCTCTTCAACCAAGGAATCCTGTACATGTAACATTTTGGATAATTTTATGGTCTTAAAAAATCATTAAAACTTGTCTCTTCTACAAAGTTGATTTTAGTCAACCAGGTACCTAGCAAACAGCAACCAGTCTTCTAAGTAAGCACGTTGTTGTTGTTGTTGTTGTTATTATGTGCTGACAAGTCAGAACTGACTCACAGCTCATCCTCCAGCGAGTTTTCAGAGGCTGTGAATTGCATGGGAGGAGATTGTTTCTCTTTCTCCCACAAAATCAACATGGTTCATAAAAACCCAGCCTGCTGTGTCACGACACGTAGTTCACTGCCAAGGCCTGTGGAGAGCACTGTCTTTATGTACCTGAGATCTAGACCCTAACTGTCAGACGAGGAAATCCCAGTGAGAATAAGGCACCATCACACGGTCCATACTGAATTTACCAAGTTCCAATATCTCCCATAAATTTGAATTCATTTGTGTTCTTTTTAATGTGACCGGAGAGTATTTTCCAGTTATGAATAGATGACTCTCTCAGAGTGTACTCAATCACGTATTTGTTCTTCTGTCCATATATCAAAGACTGACTCTGAGCCGGGTCATGTGCAGGGGACCATCCACACCCTCCTGTTAAATGTACATCTGAAATGACATCTTCATTCTGAAATGAACAGAGGCCAACAACATAGGGTCCCTCGTTTGGTCCCCAGCCTCTTCTCCAGGCCATAGGCATGTCTAGAGGGGCAGGGAGTGTGGCATAAGCACTGCCAAGAGCTCTTGGTGAAGGCAGGGATGGGGGGCTCAGCCACCCACAGATTTCCTTCCTCATCCCTCCTCCTTTCATTTGGTCATTGGGGTCAAGGTGGAGCACATGAAGACAGTGCTGTCCACAGAGTCATGGCAATGAAGGCCTTGTAGCTACTTGGAAGATTGGTCTTCTCTTCATCAGATAGTTGAGTAAAATCAACTTTGGAGAAGAAAGTAGTTTTAATCATTTTTTTAAGACCGTAACCAGAGCCTGCATTGCTGTGTGTGTTACATGCAGACCAAGTTACCAAAAGGAGTAGGTGTGGGGCAAGATCCTCACTTCCCACTGTCCCTTGCTTGAGTCCTGTTTTGCTCTGGCTGTGTCATCAGGTCGCCACTACCTGGCCCAGAACACACAGGTGCTGCGGATGCTGGAGGAGCGTCTCAGGGAGGAGGACAAGGACCCCATCACCCGGGAGCACGTCCTCGGGGCCCTGCAGAAGTTCAGCCTCAGGTCAGTGGCCACACTGGGGCGGCTCCCACAGTTCAGTTTGTCTTAAGCTGCTGGGCTTTTTCAGTTATTAAACTTGTTTTCTTTTTTTTAAACTATACATGGTTTGAACCCAGCAGCTGCTCCACAGGAGAAAGATGGGCACTCTCCTTCTGTGTGATTTACCGCCTCTGTGGAGGGGCAGCTGTGAGTTAGTTCGTATTCAGTGGCACAGAACAATCAATGGGATCATACAATCTGTGCTTTCTTGTGATGGGTTTTTGTCCCATAGCTTAGCATTGCCATGCTCCATCTGCCTTGTGGTATGTATCCGTCGTTTATTTTCTTTGCCTTACAGCATAGGCCACACTTTATTTATTCCTGCATCTCTTGATGGGTGTGTGAGCTGTTTCTGGTTTTAGCTATCAGGAATAATGCTCCTGTGAACATTGACACCCGAGTCTGTGTGTGGCACGCGTCCCTTGTCCTGGGTGAGTGTCTCAGAATAGAAAGTCTGGGTCCTGGGGGGTTCTTCTAGCACAGGTCCTCCTTCATGACCACCATACTTTCTGTTAGGTCTTCACACTGGACATAAGGCCAAGGACTCAAGGAAGGGGCCAGAGAAAGAAAGAAAGACAAAGAAGCTTTTTCAAGGGGGCCCCCAGGCGGGATTTTTTTGATCTAGAGAGACAGACCAGAGGAATACTCTGCCTCAAGGTGAATTGTTGTTGTTGTTGTTGTTATGTGCTGTTGAGTTGCTTGTGACTCATAGCGACCCTATGTACAACAGCCCTAAACACTGCTCTATCATGTGCCAATCTCATTGCCTCTGACACACCCATCCCGATTACCCCAGTCACTGAATCAATCCACCTCATAGAGGGTCTTCCCCTCCTGTGCTGTCCCTCCACCCTACCAAGCATGATGTCCCTCTCCAAGGACCTGTCCCTCCTTATAACATGTCCAAAGTATGTCAGACGAAGCCCTAGAATCCTTGCCTCCAAGGAGTAGCCTGGTTTAACCCTCTCCAGGATGAATCTGTTCATTTTCTTGGCAGTCCATGGTACATTCAATACTCTTCTCCAGCACCACAGCTCAAAGGCATCAATTCTCCTTCTATCCTTCCTAGTCATTGTCCAACTCTCTGATGCATAACAAGTGGATTGCAAAGATTGTGGCCTGTATCATGGGCACCTTAGTCTCCAGAGAGACACCGTTGCTCTTGAGTACTTTAGAGAGGTCCCTAACAGCAGACTTTCCCATCACAATACATTTTTTTATTTCCTGGATGCTGGTGCCAAGAGTGTTGACCCTGGAGCCGAGCAAACTGAAGCTGTGAACAATCTCAATCTCTTTGCCATCCATCCTGACGCTTCCAGTTGGTCCAGTGGTGAGACTCTTTGTCTTCTTGACATTGAGCCTCAGTCCATACTGAAGGCTGCAGTCCTTGACCCTCTGCAGTAAGTGCATGAGGTCCTCCTCAGTTTCAGCACGCAGGGTTGTGTCATCTGCATAATGCAGATTGTTAATAGATCTTCCACCAATCCTGATGCCACACTTCTCCTCATAGAGCCCAGCCTCTCTGATAATCTGCTCCACATACAGGTTGAGAAGGTATGGCAATATGTCTTCTAATTTCCTGGCTCCTGGTGCCGAGAGTGTCGACTGTGGAGCCAAGCAAACTGAAGCTGTGATAAAAATGGTTAACTCCACAATAAGGGATATATCTTTCACTTTTCTGTAAAATGCTGGTCTGTCTGATAATTCTCTAAATCTGAACATTCAGATTAAGACAGACTAGGAAGAAGGATTGGCCATCATTTCTGAAATAGCAGGCCTCTGAAAACCCTATGTACAACAAGGTGAATTAGGGCAGGTTTTTATAGTAAGGGTCTCTGGGGAGAGAACAAAGGGACATTCCATTGTGGTTTAGCCAAGTGGGTGGTCTTCTAGGGAAGGATAGGAGGGGTACTCCATAGTGTTTCAGTCAGATGAGGCTGTTGACTCCTTTGTTGACATGTTGATAGTCCTTGAATCCTTTGTTCTCCCTTTGACCTGTGGCCTGACACTTTCCTTTGACTTTATTGAAAATTCTAGAACCTGAGTCTTCAGGTTTTTCTGAACCCCCTACCCCCAGGCCCTCTCCTGCCACACTGCTTCCCACAGAGATACTTCCCTCTCTTCTGCTACTCACTATTCCCTCTCTACAACTATTTCTGACTCACTAATAAACTGACACTTATGAGGAAATAATTAATCTGTGTATATTTAATGGGAGAACCAGGAAAGAGATGATAAACATATCATACCTCCTGTTTACAGGCCCTTGGGAATGAGTCACTTTTTTCTAACTCTATCAATTAGAAAAACTGTGCGCTATCTCTAGCATTATTTCTTGTAGTCATATGATGAGTTGGTTTCTTTCCTTTTGTATCTAAAGATAACTGTCCCTGGACATGTTTTAGAAATTGATTAGCTGTAGTTAAGGGATGGAGATAAGATATGGTTAAGAAACACCTTTTCCTGATAATGCAGGTATTTACTGACCAGATATCCTATTCCTTCTGCCACCCAGTAATTTAAACCTGTCCGTTGTTCTGGGAATATGTTAAATGTTTTCATAAGTCTCCACAAGGAAGTAGAAGGTAGGGAGGCTTAGCAAGGGTTTACCCCTTAGTCCTGGGGTAGAGCGTTGAAGAACACCATGCAGGAATCTGCACCCTCAGGCCATCCTGGGCATTACCTCTGCTGTCTCCTGGCAGTCAGGTCCCTGCCAGTGCCATGGGCTGTCTGTATTGTCAGAGAATTCAGATGGCATCTGATGGCGGTGCCACGCTTAGTCTCCTCCATTCTTAGGGCTGTCTCGGTGCACTCACATCAGGGTATTGCAAGTTGGATTCAAGACCATCGCCATATACAGGTTTGACTATAAAGCGAGTCACATGCGTGTATTGCCTCTCAGTGCATACAAGTCCTGTTGGCACAAAGCTGTGTGGTGGTGGTGTGCCATCTTCATCGTGCCGTGGGTACTTCAAGAACGACAAGAGTGTCACACAGCGGTGTGAAGTGACATATTCTGTTGGAAAAGGAGATGTGCCCAAGGCAGGGCTGTCCCCAGCCTGACATTAGTTGTTTGAAAAAAATGTGTCTCTGAAGCACAATAAAGTGAAATCAGTCAACCGAGGCCCATCTTCACACATTTGGATGGTTTGATGTACATGTGGATGGTTTGTAATTTGTAGTATTGTACAACTGGCTTTGGGGTGGAAAAGAATTCTTTATTCCAGGTCATTAAAGCGCCCTAGCTCCATGTTGTTGTCTTGTTAAGTGCCATCGAGTCGTAGGCGGCTCATAGTGACCCTATGAATGAAAGACCTGGACACTTGTATACCTTTCATCGTTTCTCCAGGTTCATAGGATTTCTGGAGGCAAGCTATTTTGGAAGTGGACACCACTCCTGCTTCCAAGCTTGTTTTAATCTGGGAGTTCCACCAAACACTGTCCACCATGGGTAACCATGATTGCATTTGACACATCAGCGTCACAGTGTTCAGCTTCACAGCAACCACGAGTTACCTCTGTACAGCAAGTGGACAGACCAGTGCTATGCCGCTTAGAAGAATTGCCCTATGCCCTAGCTCCATAGACACCTGAGTCAAAATGGTGTTGAACTGGCTTTTGTTTTTCTTTTTAAGTAGCTCCCAGCACCCCTGCTCTGGTGGCGTAGTCCATGAGGAGTTGCACTGGTAACCCCAAAGCAGTGCCTCCGTGGCGGTTCAAATCCACCAGGGGCTCCGAGGGCACCCACCCCTCGTGTGACTCACTCACAGCCCCAGAAGCCCGCTGGGGTGTCAGCTGTGAGTCGGTTCTGACACTGTGGCAATGAGGAGGAGGAGGAGTAAGCGGCAGTGTGCAGCCAGGAGTGTAGATGCAGAGCTGCTATTTTCATGGCCTTGTTTCCCAGATTAAGTAAAACAAAAACATTGTTTGTTGTTGTTGTTATGTGCCTTCGAGTCGTTTCCGACTCATAGCGACCCTATTCACAACAGCTCTAAACCCCGCTCTATCCTGCGCCAACC